CCTCCAAGTCTCCCGGCTCTCAGGCCTGCACCATACCCACCACAAGGCAAAGCTTCCCCCACCTGTTAGATCCAACCCTGATTCATGCTCAGTCTCAGACTGATCTCACTGGGATCTGTCATCCTGCCCTGTGGAAATAGTCTCTTTGGATGCTGTATGTGTAAATGCACACAGATGAACCAGAGGCCTGAGAGGCCCTTTCCACTCTTATGTTCCTTTGTTTGCACAGATAGAAACATGTCTAGAGCTAAGGAAACCCATCGCTTCACTTGCTGTCCCCAAAGCATCTCCTCCTGTTGTGGGGCTATTAAAACAGCTGTCACGTTCCACCCCAGAAGTGGCTGCATTTCAGTGGGGGTTCTTGCAAACAGCTCTCTGTATGCAGGTGTTGGCATCCCCACCAACGCTCCCACCATACTGGGGTTAATGTAGGTGGCACAGTCCAGAGTGAAGATGGTGGGCGATGCCGGGGGGTGGCATGGGGGTGATTTCTTCCATGTGGCACTTCCCATAGTCTGCATTCAGGGTTAGAGCTAAGCAGGAGCAGAGAGTTGGGAGCTGGGGTTTCATAGTTTCACTTCAGGCTTTTAGCTGTGCCCTTTGTCTCTGACTCCAAACTTCCCCAAGGGGGGCACCGGGAGCCAGGATCCCTTTCTTGCACTGGGGTGAGTCCTGCTGTCATGCTAGCAGTTCACCCACTTGGAGGATGGAGCCCGGAGCCAAGCACCTGCCATCTTTCCCTCCCCAACCCTCTGCTGCAGCTCACGTCAGGTGCAGCTGCTGCACAGAAACAATCAAACTGGGTGGCAATCGCACCAGTGTAAAATAACAGCCCAGCAGAGTTGGGCTTGGGGGGTGGGGAGAAGCCAAATATAATGGAGATATTCAGGGCTGTGACTGCAAGAATGCAGGCCCTGATGGTGCCCAGCACATGCTATACAGGACTGCTCCAGCCTGCAAGAAACCACAAGGGATTTCCCAGGCCAGGGCAGCTTGTACCCAGAGAGGAAGTGGGGTGGAGGGGACTGCAGAGGAGTTGTAGGAGGGTGTGAGATCCATTGCAAAAGCTCAGCAGAAATGCCCTAGCTGTGCTGGGGGACAGGCTCCTTCTGCAGAGGCCCACACACTTCCCTTCTCCCACATCACTGCCCACGGACCCCTGTCTGTGGGTGTCTGTATTCGTGCATGTATGCCAGTGTGTGCCCTGATATTTGCTCTGTGCATGTCTTTATGTGCATTTGCATAGGTGCATGGATTCCAGGAAAAGCAAATACCCAGATCCAATCTCTGTTAGCCTCAGGTACAAGGCAAGGGCGAGGTGCGGGGGGGAATCTGAGGTCTCAGTTTAACTACTGTTGTTTTTCAGGGTGTACCTGGCCAGTATGAGAAACACATGGGAGCAGGAAGGATGAGCTTCATCCTTCACTGCAACTTCGGTCAGGTGCAGGGAGCCTTTGTGAGTCACTGTGTAGGAAGCTTACAGAGAACTGGGTGATAAAAATATTACCTGGCAAGTGGGCTGGAGAAGCTGGGGGCAGGAAGGGCTCAGGGGAGGGTGCTGTCCTATTTCAGCCTTTCTTCAAACGCTGCCAGCAATGCAAGCAAGATACTAGACTGCAGAAGGACTGGACTGAAACCCTGGGTGTAAATCAGTGTTACACACTCATCTACAGTTCTCTGGGTGTGTATGGCTGCATGACCGGGATATTACAGAGGTCGAGAGTGTTCAGAGAAGGCCACTGAGAAGGATCAAAGATCTGGGGAAATCTCTTTTATGAAGAGACATGGGTAAGATGAAGGTTGGTTGCCCCACAAAGAAGATGGCATAGGAAGGTTCTGCACAAGGACAAATAGTGCAACGAAGGGAGTTCACGGTCCACAAACGCAAGAGCGAGAGGGCCGTTCCATTCAGCTTGCTCAGTGTGCAATTAGACTGAAGGACTCACTGCCTCAAGCTCTCACCAAGGCCAAGAACCTAGGAAGAGTCATAGAAGGACCCAACATCTGCACATGCAACAGGCATATCCAGATTTTGAAGTTTGGATATGGTGTTTGGGAGAGAGATAAAACTTCCTGCTGCAGGGCTTCAACAAGTGTGTGTCTCAGAGATCTGCCTGAGACTTGCCGTGGTTTTAGATGATCCTACACATGGCTACTGTGTGGTTTCTGTCCCGTCATCGAAAACAGCTGGTTTTGGCCTCTGTTGCAGATGGGCCCCTGGACAAGATGAAGGGTGGGTCTCCTCCAGCCTGGCAGGTCCTGCCTTCCCATGGAGGGAGCTGCAGGAGACTGATGGTGCCTTGTGGCCAAGGTGTTTGCATTCTGGATGGGTTGTGTGTGGACTACTCCTTCCTGCTTGCAGATGCAGGGCGTTCCACTTGTGGGCTGCATTAGGATACTGGGGAGCTGCTATGGGGTCCAGGCAGTGTGTTAAGAAGGACCATGCGTGCACACCTGTTTTGGACGTTGTGGGAGCTGCTTCCCAGATCACGTGTACACTCACAAGGGGGTTGATCTTCTTGAGGGCAAGCGCAGCCCGCAGAACCCTAGTAGCCACAGTCATTGTCCATAGGGATATCCAACCCATTGAGACTGCAAGTCTCAAAGTGCAATGCACCCGTCGTACCACCTACAGCCTTGACAGGCCTCAGCGTGAGGCAGCTGCTATCCTGCAGAGGCAGCCTGTTGGCTCTTGGTGAATTAAAAGCAGTGAGCCTTTTCCAGCTAGTGGCAGGCCTGGCAGCCAGCTGTCACCTGCTGCAGATCAGCATTACATGCATGAATCTTGAAGCGTAGGGAAGGAGTATGTGCATTGGCCGTATGCCTCCCTTTGGCGACTCACTTCCTCCTCTAAGGGCCGAAGTTGGCCAACTTTAGAAATATCAGGTCCTGAAACCAGCTGGAGGAACCTCTTGGGGGGCGGGGAGGGTCTGAGGAAGTCACAGGGGCAGAGTTTCCTGCGGGCTTGTTTCCATCACGCCCCCATTTTGGTCAAATTAGAAGGTCTGACATGCTGCTATGGGCAAAGAGGGTGGGGACTGTACGGGCAGTAGCTATAGCCGATCATGGCGGGGAGTTCCTCTTTCTAAGATGCTGAAACTAGAGTGGAGGCGGAGGTGTGGGTGGGAAATCTGTCCCGGGGCTGATCCTGAATTTCTTACTCAGGACAAATAACACTGACCCTGTCAAAAAGGGCCCAGCCTCTAGTCACTGGGCTGGGGCAGAAGGGGGCATGGGTTCTCAGTAGACATAGGGGACAGGTGAAGAAGAGTTTAGGTTGCAGGCTCTTTGAGGTGGAGGCTGGTGTTTCATAGTGTCGTAGACGTTAGGGGCTGGAAGGGACTTTACAGATCATCGGGTCCAGCCCCCCTCCATCTACTACACCCCCCTTTCTTACTACATCCAGGTCCTGGCACAGTGGAGCAGGCACTGGGTGGGTGCCAGATGTGGGTGTATGTGTGTGGATGTGTGGGTGTAAGTGGGTATGTGGTTTGTGGGTGTCTGTGAGTGTGCTGGGGGAAGGTGTATGGGGAGGGTTGCAGCATGAGTGGAGGGGGAGGGTTGCAGTAGGTGTGGAGGGGCAAGGTTGCACTGTTGCAATAGTAAAAAATAGAAATAATAAATAATAGGAAGAAAGAGGACCCCCATCTTTTACAAGTGGCCACATGTCACAGGGATGAATACATCATGAGCAAGTTCCTGCTATCCCTGAGGTCTGGCTGTATCCGGGGGCACTTTGGAAGCGTGTTCAGGGAGTTCCTCTGACTCCAGTGGTCCTCGGAGGAGTGGTAGACAGCAGACCCTAATGCCTGACACTTCAGGGACTTCTCCACTTACCAGGACTGGTGGGGTGGGTGATCCCCTCACAGGTGAATGGTTGAGACCCGGAAATGGCGAGCTCTCTTGCCCAGGTAATAATAGTCGAGATGCTGCCAACGGTTTTTCCATCTGCAGAAGGAAGGAGGGAGAGAGGGAAGGGAAGTAAGTCACAGGCTGAGGGGTGAGGGGAGCATGCTAGCGAGACTGGGGTGGACTAGTTGGAGTCCCATGGTATAATAAGCCCATCAAAGAATGCACTGGCTTCCCTTTCCCGAGAGGATGGGAGGGGAGCAGGGATGTCTGTGACTCTCGTTAAGGGGTTAATCTGCAGTTGCTAGCTTCCCACCACCGAGCCTGGGCCAGCCAAGGAGGGTTGTGGTGCTGCCGTGGCCCTCACGCATGTCTCATGGGAGGAGCGTGTGCCCGTGGTGTGCTCTCCTGCTCATGCAGCTGCATTGAGCTGCCCCGTTACTGCACCCCAGCGGCTCTGAGGACCGTGAGAACAAGCGATACGTGGTGTCACCCCTCTTTATCCTTCCCTTGGGGTGATGCTGCCTCTCCGGTGCACTGTGAATGCACCACCCCGGGCATCAGAACCAAGTCTTGCAGTGAACAGAGAGGGAAAATGCTGCTTCCAGCCTCAAGAGAGGTGTGACTCTGGCATTGCTGAGTCCCAGCCTGGCCCCAGACCCCCACCCAGCCCAGCCTGCACAGCTGGAGGTCCTAACTGCCCCACTCTCCTTCCTAGCTCTGCTCAAGTTACCACAACAGCAGAAAGCCATTGGTGTCATCACAGCAGCTGGAGGGGGAGTGATGGAGCCTAGGGCTTCCCCTTGGTGTCAGCAAGCAGGGCTTAACTCCCAGGTCATCAGCTAGACAGGTGTTCAGGAGGCCTGCTGCAGCACAGCCACTGATAAGTGATCAGGATCAGGAGGGAATATGTTTAATTAACCCTCCCGGAGACATTAAATATACAGGTGGGACTTAGGAAGGGCAGGAGGGTTTGTGGAGAGAAGCTTGACTGTTCGGGAGATAATCCAGGCTGGGGATTTTATTGTTGATTTCTAGGCTATGCAGAACCATTTGGTGCATCTTTTTTGGGTGCCATGAGCTGGCTCAGACTGTTGCCACATCCTGTGGCTCCTAGCGAGTTAGCCCTGACCTGCCTCTTCCCATTGCAGCTACCCCAGATGTGATGGTTACCCTGGATCCCCAGCCAGTTGCCGCCTGACCTAGTGTCCTTAATGCCTCCACCGCAGCGAGCGGCTGTTCCTGAGCATTTGATCCCCGGCTGGAATGCCCCACCGCACCCGACATGCAGATCTGGGCTCCAAACCAAGCAGCTGGCCACACAATGAGGTAAAATGCATGCTGGAGGCCAACAAGCTGAATGGATTGGAGGGAGGAGGTGACAGCAGGGCTTGAATATGTGTTTGGGGATGTGGGGGGGCAGACAGGATGGGTACTTCTTGCTGCGGAGAAAATAAAGCACTAAACCATCCTAGCTGGGAACAAAGAGGATCCTGGTAGCATGCTTGTTTCCCTGCTGCCCTCGGACGACTCCACAGCTGGAGCATTGTGTGGGTTATTTTCTGCAGCTTGCTGGGGGTTCTCTATAGAGCAGTCCAAGCTCCAGAGACTTGGATATGTTAATTGAGACGGAGGAAGGCTGCGTTCCAGCCTGCTGATATCTACCTGGTGCGGGGATCTCAGGCTGCGGGGCAGGCACGTTGCCTCCACCAGATGCTGTTGAGTCTAGTGTCAGTTCCGGCTTCCTTGGACATCCCAATTTGCTTTGGCCATCTCATCTTGGTTTGGGAATGCCCCTGGCTACAGATGAAGCCTGATTTTTTTTTTATTTTTTCTTTTCCCCCCAAGGGGAAGGGTGACTGGGGGGAGCTGCTGACAGTCACCGCCTTGGATTTCATGCCAGGGGAGGGGATGGAGGCTGTTAATAATTGATAGGAGCTGGCTGGTAAAGGCCCCTCTCTATTTACTCTTGTATTTTCTTCCTTCTCTCTTTCTCAGTCCATCTGGCCTCCTCGGGCTGCACCTCGCCCTGTCGGTCTATAAGTCGCCATCTGTTCTTAAAGGCGAAGTGTGTTGTTTCTCTGCCATGCGCGAGCGCTCCTGCTCCCTCACCTCGAGGGATTATCCCAGGCCAGGCTGGGTCCCGCTCTCTAGCAAGCACATCTCCACTCAGGCCTGCTCCCCGAAGCAGGTCCTGCAGGCTGTAGCAGCCTGGCTTTGCTATGGGAGGCTCAGTGATTTGGAGGAAGGGCTGGTTGCTGTGCTGTGGAGGTCCAGCGATCCTGGTCCCTTCAGACTGGCAAGGAGCTGATGAGCGAGCTGTGTAAGCTGAGCAACACGGCAGGGCTCGCATCCCAAGCTTGGGCACTGGCAGGTCTCTTTCTCGTATGTGCCAGGAGATTGGTGACGTTGGCTGGCTAGCAAGAAAGAACTGGAGAGTGCTGGCAAATTCTCCCCGAAGGAGACCCAAGCCAGGACATCTCGGGTGCCTCAGAGTAGGGGGAGCTGGGGTGGGTGCTGGTCAATGCAGCATTGGCAAAGCTGAGCACAGAATACGTTCCTTCTGCCATGAGAGATCAGAGCTAGCCCAGCTGGGGCAAGTTACACTTGAGGGCATGGGGATTAAAAAGGGGGGATCACAGTTTAGAGTTAGGATGGTACCGTGCCCTTAAGCTGCCTGGCACTGCTCCACTGGGGCTTTGGATGCTCCTTTGAGCTTCGGGGACTACTGAGGCACAGCTGCCTCCCTCTTGGGGCTTGGCAAAGGAGGGGTCTGTGTACCCGCTGGAGTGTGGCAGGGTGAGCGTCCTCCCAGGTGCTCCATCCTCCGCCCAACCTGGCAGCTCCTCCGGTCTCGATGAAAGCAGAGACAGATGGAGAGAGCAGCACAGGCCTCAGCTGGGACCAGAAAGCATGGAAATGGCAGAGAATGGGCTGAGGCTCCTGTTACAGAGAGAAACAGAAAGGGCAGAGGGGTGGGTTAGGAAGAGGGGGTGAGGGTGGGAATGAAAGGGGAGGAGAAGGGGCCATGGCAGAAAGAAGAGCCAGATTAAGAGGGGGCAAGGGAGTGAAGGGAATCGGCTGCAGGGGGATGGGGGGCAATGAAGCTGGATGGATCGAGGGAAATGCAAAGCGCGCGGATCTCTTTTATCTTCATTCCAGCCTCGCTCTCCCTTCTCACCTCCCCCTCCCCTTGCTCTGTGGTGTCAGTCAGCCCCACACCTGTTTGATTGCTTTATTATTAGCTTTTCTTCTTGCTGATTGTCTAATTCTGGTGTGCCGTTTGGAAGAAAAAGCCCTCCTCTCTGAATCTGCTATTAAAGCCAGCTGTTTCGCTGTGTTTCTCCCTGTGCAGGAGGGGTGGCTGGGTCTGTCCCAAAAGCTGTTAATCTCCAGGAGCAAAGGCACTCGACACAAATTATTCTGAATCTATTCTAATTGGTTTTATTTCCTCCCCCTTCTTGTAAAATGAATTTGTTTAGATGACAAAGTATGTGTCTGTGTGTGTGTGTAATTACCAATGAGGATCTGCATATGCTCATTTAGTTTTTGGCAGCTACATGGTGCTGCCGATTAAGGAATATGAAATGAACCTGCAATGGGAATTTATGGGCCAAATTCTGCTCTTTTTTTTTTTTTTTTACTGCAGTGAAAGACTCTTGCCCAGGTTTCTTCAGACTGCAAAGTCTAACTGAGAAGGGCATTCAGTTCTAGACATTGTAATACTCTGGTGTGCTTGTATTTGGGGGGGGGGGTATGGCAGGGCCCCCTGCTGGGGGGAATAGGCACTGTTCAGCTGTGTGTCATATGTCCTATATCCCCAGCAGTGAATAAGGGGACTTGTGTAGAACTTGCTTCAACTTCCAGAGCTTTTGGAGCAAAGGCGTGCGATGTATTCTGCACTCAACTTAACTGCATATGGGGTAAGGGCATAATTCTGCTTTACAGCGTAATGGGATACCGGTCCCAACTTGCCGTAATATACTCTGGTGATCTACACGTTGCTTCAGTGCATAGGGACTCTCAGCCTCTGTCTACTTTGTAAGGAAAATGCTGTGTTTAATTGCAGAATTAGTGGAAAGCTGCCAATTTGGGGAATTTTAAAGCAAGGTTCTGTCAGTTTTGAAGCTGCTATGAGAGGCATGGGGGACTCGGGGGTGTGAAAAGCTTAGCTAGGCTGCTTCATACAGAGATGTGCTTACGTGGAGTTTGAGTAAGCAGGCAGATTTCTGTGGTTTTGTGTTTAGTCCCCAGGCTAAGCGTGTGTAAGGCATACTTGATGCCTGTTCAGGGCAGGACTGTGACATCGCCCCGTAAGACAAGTGATTTTGTTCTTGCCCAGGAAAATCAAGCATAGGCTGCATCCTTTATCTGGAACCACTCGGGACCCAAGATGCAAAGCTTAGATTCAGAAACGGAGCTCATTGATGCCAAAGCCCGGGCGTGATCTTTGCATCTGAGGGTATAGTTGGGGTCCTATTCTGTCTGAGACATGAAGTTCCCAATGCAGGTGTCATCTAAGGACCTTGCAGAGGCAGAATACCAAAGAAAGAGCCAGTGCGGTCCTGGAAAAAAGATACCAGTTGCTGCAGTTTTCCATGCTTTTCTCCATGAGCAAAGGCACAAGGGATGAGAAAGCTCAGAAGATATGTTCTTCAACCTGAGAAGGCTCCTTGCTGTCAGATGGCCAGGGACACCTGGGAATAAATATTGCTGCATTCTTGGCCTGAGTGAACTGGATATGCCTTGTAAATCTCTTTAGCCATCTGTGTCCACTACAACTCTGGCTAAATAGGTCCCTTCTTGACTGATCAGTGATAACCACTGACAAACCTGGCCCTCTTTCAACTGCAGAACCCAGGACGGTTCGCAGAGAAGGGGGAGTACACTTATCCTCACTTCAGTAATAGGGAAACTGAGGCAGAAGCTGATGTGACCTAAAGAGGCAGAGCAAGCTTGCTAGGATTTGGAGCACAGGTCTCTTCACAGCCAGCTCCACTGTGGAGAATTGGGTTTTTTTGGTATGAAGGCATTTAGAAAGGTGGAAAGGCCAGAGAGAGTTGTATTTTCCCTGTCTACAAGCTGCTGGGCACTGATGGAGCATGGAGAGGAAGTCCATGGGAGAGGAAAACTCAGAAAGTGTTTTGGGGGGAACTGATGCTTCATGCTTGGACTATAAGTTTTGAGGGGCAAGAACTGCTTCCCTGTTTATACAGTGCCTAGTGCAGTGAGACCCTGGTTCACACTTGATGCTCTCCAGGGCCTCTGTAATCTATAATAAAAGCAAAACGATTCCTAGAGGGGAGAAAAAGATGGAAATGCTCTTCTGGCTGCGTAGCTCTGCGCGTGCTTCAAGGAGAGGGGGCAAGCCCTAGGCCGCAGCAGAGAGAACAGGCAGACAAGGTCAACCCGTCACACTTTTCCTTGAAGAAGCAAGGACTTTTATTTGTGCTGATTATCTTTTATTGGATCAAGTGCACTGCTGGGAGAGATGACAGATGAGCTTCCTCGGGTCACAAGGGCACTTTGCACTTGAAAGTTTTATCTGACGTCTCTCTTATCTCTGCAGCTGGTCCAATAAGGTATCGCCCCCCAGCCCCGTTGCTTCTCCTGTGTGTCCTGGCCCATTTTGGCGATGACACCCCAACCCTACTACGCGTTTCCTTGGCTTTGCAAGGAGATTTAGGCTTGGACAGTGTGTGGTTCTTGGTTTGTGGTCACCAGAATCGCCTGCTAAAACTAGAGGCGCTGCCTCCGCTTTTAACCGGGTGCTTGGTTTGTGTGACATCAGCCTTATTTCTGGCTGATTTGGTGCGCAACCTCCCCTCCCCATCCAAGCATGTGTGTATTTACACTTAGACACGCACACACCCTTTTAAATTTAAGCCCATTCCCTAGAGCTCCCTGGATGCCTGGGCTCCTTGGATGTGCTGTCCTTTATATTTGGACATGCCCCAGATAGCACCTGGCAGCCTGGCTGGCTGAGGTCATGGCGCTATTAGAGTCTGCAGGCAAGCTGGAGAGGGAGCTGAGTACAAGTGCCTGAGCACCCAGACCAACTTCAGACGCTTTCTCAGCCTGACGATGGGCGTTTGTAACCGAAAGCTTGCAAAGAAGAATTGTCTCAACTATTTGAGTTGGTCTAATAAAAGATATCGCGTTTACCCAAAGAACGTCTGCCCACGTCCTTAGACCACCACGGCTACAACCTGCACCCCTGAGCACCCCTCCGATTTGGGCCTCGCTTTCCCTAGCAGACTATCGAGGGACAAACCGACCCAGCCAATGACATGCAGCGGTGGAGCATTACCTCATCAGAGCACTCACTC